TGGGCCGCTCAGGGATTCTGGGACGGTCTGATAGGTCAGGACACCCGTCCTGAGGGTGAGGATAGGCCACTTCCTCAGTGTCCTGACCTATCATACGGGGAGGGCCAGGGCCCAGTGAGAGCCAACAGGTTCTGCCCACACAGTCCCGCGGTGCGGTCAGCCGCGCCTGCAGCTCTACCAGCCCGGCCGCCCTACCCTGCCCCGTGTGTGGTGGGGGGGGCGCCCGAAAAGCCTCAGCAAACACATTTAAATCTGAAGTGACAGATAAAGCGATTTACGGTGACAGTTTAGCGTCAGATCACTTCCCACAAGGCAGCGTGCGTCCCTCCGGCCCCCCTGCTTGGTAGTCCATCAAGGCGGTCTCTAAATCACTGACTCCGAGCGGCGGCCCAGGGCTGGGAGCAGGGGCGGGTGGCCACTCGGGTGGCCGCTCAGGTGGCCTGGCCTGCTCCTCGCTGCAGGGCCAGACTCCACGGGGCTCTCCAGGCAGCATGAAGGGATGAAGCAAGGATTTCCGGGTGCTGGGAAGGAGGACGTGATAAGCAGCTGGCAGACTTCCACAAATCAAAGCCCCAAGACTTAAGGAAACAGAGCTCCACTTCATGCCTTATTTTAAATAAATAAGCGGCTTAAAACTCTCCCTGTGAGGCTGGCTTGTCGCTGTGAAACATGGCTTCCCACCCGCTCTCCACGCCCGGCCTGCGTTCCTGGGCCCCTCTACAGCCTCGCTGACCCCCTCGCCTCCCGCCACCTCCTTGCAGAATTAATTGGTCCCTGCGGCGTCGCGTGGCACTTCGCTCAGACTCGCTTCCAGCGCTTTGTCACATTATATTCCACTTAGCTGCTCTCGCTTCTGGCTCCCCAGTAATTTACTGAGGGTTCTTTATAGGCCAGGCCCTGGGCCGGCCCTGGACCGCCCGAAACTCATGTCATCCTCACACCCTCCCTGGGTGGGGCCAATGGAGATGCCATTTTTCAGATGAGGAAATGAAGGCTCAGAGGCGCCTGGGTAGCCAGAAGACACAGCACCACCAGGAACGCTGGGACCCTGCCTTGCTCCTGCCCCGGGCCGCGCCCGCACTCTGGCCTGGGACGGCTTTGATGGGAAGATTCCTTCAGTCTTCGCACAAAGTGGTGCATTCATCTCTGCTCTGCTCTGGTCTGCCCTGGAGGCCAACGCCGGGCAGTGGACCCTGGGGCTGGTCAAGACTGGGGGTCATTTCCTGCCTAAGACTCAACGTCTATTGGAAACAAGGGACGCACCTCACAGGCCTGGTGAGCTAAAACTCAAGGGCACAGAGGTGGCCCCCTCGAGGTCACGCCCTGTTGCACATAGAAGATGAAAACACTCCAGAAGCCCAGCACCGTCCTGGGGGAGACTCCGGAGCCCAGCCATCCCCGGACACAGCTCTGAGGGTCACAGGCCAAGCAGAGAGGCAGGCACTGTCCCTAAGAATCTCCGATTCCAGAAAGGGGAGAGTGCGGGGGATCCTCGGCTTATCTCACCAGCGTGGCAGCCCAATTTAATTAAGATGGATGCAGCGTGCCCCCGTGGGCAGGAGCCATGGCCAGCACAGATGGCAGGAGCCAAGGACTCTCCCGGCTGATGTCCTAGCAAGCGGCCTTGACCAGCAGCCCACAGGACAGAGCCGAGGAGTTTCCGACGAGGTCCATGCTGTGCCTGGGGGGCCCGAGGGGGTTCTCCTGCCTCTGTGATCTCTGGCCAAGCCACCCACCAAACAGGCAATCCCCCTTCTACTCTCTGTCTCAGCCCCCTCCTGCCCCCATGGCACCGAATAGCACACACCGGCCATCACGCAACCCCCAGAGACCAACCAAGTGGAGGCAGAAACCAGTCCTGGACTTCAAATGCCAGGAGACCAGTTGAGAGAGCACATCTGATCTCCTTAGTCCTCAGGGAGGCCGTGGGCAGAGTCCTCTGTGAGCAGGAGAAGGGGTGGGCGTGTGAGCAGGGAGGACGCCTGGGCCTGCCCTCTTCAAGAGTCACCAGGGCCCAATCGAGGGGCACAGAGAGGCCCACAGCCTGGCTTCCAAGTCCAAGCAGGATGGAGGGGGGCTGGGGTGCCATTGCCCTTTCCCTCAGGCTCCTCCCAGCTCCCCCTGCATCCCTCTCCTCCAAGGTCCCTGCAGCTGGAGCACGGCCCAGGCAGTGACAGCCCTTCCCCACCTGGCAACAGGGACAGAAAGAACCCCCACACGAAATCTAGACGCTCCAGCAGCCAGACCTCAAGCCCCCAGTCCCATCCTACCCGCACCAATCTCCATGGGCCGCCGACTCCCACGGGGCCAACGCTGACCCTGGCTTCAAAAATAAAAATTTAAAAATTCCCACCCCGAGATAATTGCTCTCTCCTTTTGCCTATTGTGGCGGCTCTGCGGTCGGTGCTGAGAAGCAATTATTCACGGCTAATGATTATAATCAAGTCAAATAGAATTTAATGGACACGTATTCTCTTCCTGCTTGAAACTTTACATATGAATTAAGCACATATGGGTTTCACGAGGCACAGACGCAGATTTATGCAGCCCTGAAAAGCCCCGCGTTGCCGACGACTTTTATTCCGCTAATAAACAGGCTGATTTATGGGCTCCATTGGAACCGCGATCTCTGCCGCCCCCTGGTGGTCTGCAGGACCGGGGCAGAGCCAGGGCTGAAGGGACTCCCCCCAGGAAGGGGTGGGAGCCAAGGACACTGGGAGTACCCATGTCTGACCAGCGTCAAGGCCACCCTGAATACTGGGGCCTGACAAAGACCCAGAGGACCTGGAGGGGCACAGGCTCTATGTGGGAACCCCATGTCCAGGGCCTGCCTCTGGTGTTCCCGGGGATTCCAGGGGCACTCTGGGTGCCCCTAGGTGAGAGACTGTTTAGGAAAATAAAGAGCTCTCTGGAGTTGTTGGGTAAGCTGAGACAAGCAAGGGGCGATGCAGCTGGCCATCGGTGGAGGTGCCTTGTCACTCCTGAGACGGGGTGGATGCTCCCAGTGACGCGCCACATCAGTTCTAACACCAACGCCACCAGCGCAGGGTTGAGCCCTGCGTTTACACGTCAGGGGCTCCTGACGCTGCGACCACCATTCCCACCGTGCAGAGGAGGAAACAGAGGCCTTGGCAGGAACACGATAAGGGGCTCCCTGGGGAAGCTCAACAAACACTCCCCCCAACAGCCCCGGTGCAGCCACACGAAGCCAGCAGTAAAGTGCTTCTCGGAGAGCGCGGAGCTGACAGGCCACCGCGTTCAGTCTGGCGAGTCACAGGGGCACTTAGGAAGAGCCATTAATCACGCGTGCAGCCTGGAAGGCAGCCTCCAGAGTGTGCCCCCCCAACCTTGAGCCGGCCACCAACGCCCACCTCGGTCCCTGCACCCTCCCTCCTGCCCACACGGCAGCCGACCACTAAGCCAGGCCGGGAAGAAGCTCCGAACACACCCCACTTTTCCTTCTAGCCACGCGCAGCTCACAGCAGGCAGAGTACCAGCCTTGCAGCCTTGTCAGTGACCGACAGGCCCAGGCCTGCATGCCTACCCCCTCAACCATGGCCCCCTGGTCCTCCCGGCCCAGATCAGCCCTTCCCGGGCACAAGCAGCAAGAACACTTCTCTCTGGGCCGCCATGGCATCTGCCACTACCTGCCTGTCTTGGCACTGTCGCCCCAGAGAGACCCACAGACGTTGCTGCTACCCTGCCCTAGTGGGCCGAGGGAAACACGCCAGAACCACCAGCAGAAGCCCAAAGGTGACTTGAGCTCCTTCTGCTCCCCTCGCCCGGCCACTCCAAGTGGAACTCCCGCCTGTGTGTGACTTGCCACCTGCGGGCCGAGACGGGCCGTGGGGGGGAGGCACCCATGTGACTGCACAGTCCTGTGAACAATGCTGGAGAGCCGTGCAGAACAACACCACTGCCGGAAACGCAACCCAGACCGCAAGCAAGCAGGCCTGGGTGGGCACGCCGCCACCTCCCCCAGGATCCTGCAGCCTAGTCACTGACAGAGATCAATGGGGACACTGATGGCAGCTGCACTGCCGTGTCCTGTAGTCACCGGCAGCCAGCACCGGGGTCGGACACAACCACTACAAGCCCGAAGGTGAGAGGAAGGAGACCAGAGACGCTCCTAGGGGTGCCCTGGGCCTGCACAGGTCGGGGGACTGGCATGTCTCCCCCGGGAGTCAGAGCCGGGACTAGAGGGTCTGCCCGCTGTGTTCACAGGACCCAAGAAAGAGGACCCTTCCTCGTGCTGGAGCGCCAGCGAGAAGCAGGGCTGGGATCAGCCGCCACTCGACCTTGCTCCAGAGCCACCCGCACACCTGCTGGACTTAACGGCCCTTGATACCCCACTACTGAGTGCTCCAAAGTCCTTCCCCAGCTTCTGACCTCAGCTAGACAATGACCGCCCGGCTGGCGGAGGAC